CCTCTCCCCACCCTGCCCTAATCCCTTCCTGCGAGGGTGGGGTGTGGGGAAGAAGATTGTGAATGCGACCAAAACACATCATCAAGAAAGAAACGATTTCATCAAATAAGAAGAAAATCAAATCATCAAATCATCAAATCATCAAACAATCAAATATTAATCAAATAATCAAACATGCAACAAGCAATTAAGTGAAGGAATCATCGATGATCATTTCGAATCAGCGTTATTATACACCTGAGAGGTCCAATCTGGCACCCACGCACGTGGGCCATGGCTATAATAGTTTTGATTGTGGGTCATGGATATAATTCTATAGTCTGGTGGCCTCGAGCAGTCTTTGTTTGCATGTGATGAACAGGGTGATGTAGGTCCAGGTGTTATATCTTGACTGTTGGTCAACTAGCTCATCAACCGGCCAACCAATCAATTTCCTGATCAGCCAGTCAATCAACAAATACTCACACACGCCGTCCAATCAATCAATCAATCAATCAATCAATCAATCAATCAATAGAATTAGACCAATCAAATCAACGATATCATTCAAAATTTTCAAATCAACCAGCCAATCAAATCATTCAAAAATTCAATCCATCAATTAATCAATCAAATCAATCTCTCAATCTATGTATCACTCAATCAAGCAGCCAAATCGTTGCTACCAACTACGTTGACCCTTTATTAAAAAAAACAATCAATTAATCAAGAACGAAATTAAAGGAACAAAGAGAGATAGGCATTGGAGTGCCATGACTTGCGATCCCGTCAGGGACAGCGAAGGGTCAGTTTGCTCACAAAAAAACTTCAAGTTATTGCGTGGGACGGAGGTTGATAACACGAAAATGAAGGCAAAAGAGGGAAAGAGGAAATAGAAAAGTACAAAGCAACACCCAAGAATGATAGAACATGAAACCTCAATCTCTCTTTCAGTGAAGTACATGATCTACTAGCTTGTTGCTGTCTGGTGTCAAACTTGTACGAACGACTTGAACCCCCCCACAGATTGCCGCAGGTATCGGACGAGGAAGTGGCTCGCGAGCATCCACCCCCAGGTTGCCCTTCCTATGGCGGTGGCACGTATTATTCAGGCCAATTACTGCAGTCAGGTGCATACCTTTGTATGACTTGAGGTTTTCTCAAGTCTTGAGGGGATGGGCTTTTATTAGAAGCAGTATGCAGCTCCAGATTCTGAGGATGGAGTCCTGAGGGGAACTTCAAAGGTGATGCCAATCGCTGATCTGGAGGTAGTTGGGTGTACCATTGCCAGAGATTCAGAGAAGGCTTTTCAAGGGGGAGGGGTGAGCATAATTGAGCTTACCCCCGTATGATTTTTAATTACACACTATATGAAAAGTATTTTTAATGATTTAATGGAGTAGAATTTGACAACTAGTTGAGGAAGCCCCCACCAACCCCTGAAATACAAAAAAAAATCAGGAAAAGAAGCCTTTCCCACCCCCATCATCCCCACCGCCCACCAGAAAAAGAAAAGAATTGCAAAATGTTCATCGCAACGTCTGCACTGTTATCGTGGACACACTCTTGGGTGATGGTGGTGAACGGGCCACCGGTGACACCAATGCATGTGTGGGATGTGTGGGTTGCCATGCATGTGGGCCTTTGCCTGTGGCAGGTCTGCGAAATTCTCGACAAACTTGAGCGACTGAGGCTAGAAAGGGCGACAACTGAGGTGTGGACGCCCCACCGTGCATGTTTTTTTGTTGGTAATAACTAGAGGGAAGGCGGAAGGTGGAAGGGAGGATTCCAAACCTGGGGGATGGAGGGCGATTGTAATCCAGGAAGCATGCTTCAGCTGGTGCCAAAGCTCAAAATGACAAAGGCAGACATTGGAGCAGGTGGGGCTCCTTGGTTTAATTTGCATCCGCATAAACCGTGGCTAGTATTTGCACCTCCATCACGCGGATCGCTTCAGGTGTGGGACTTTGAAGAGGGAAAACGGGTTGCACTGTGGTCTGTTGACAGTAGTTATTGGTATGCCTATTTCATTGGGCAAAAAGATTGGATTGTGGCAGAGTCACGCGAACAGCTTGAAGTGTTTGAACTCCAAAATTCAACTCTGCAGTCCATTGTGCGTCTAATGAGAGGTCCCAGTGATTTGCCAGTCCTGGCTGTCCATCCAACCTCATCTTATCTTCTTAGCCGCTTCGAACGGAACGATGTTGCTCTTTGGGACTGGGAGTGGGAGAAGATTGTGTTCAAAGGTCATTCAAATCGAGTCAGGGCAGTGGCATTTCACCCAACAGAGTTCAACCTCTTTGCAAGCTCATCACGGGATTCCACAATTAAGGTATGGGATATGGAAAAAAGGTCCGTCATGCATACCATACAAGATGATTGCATTCCTGACATATGGCGTTTGCAGTTCTGCTGTAAATTTGAAAAGCCACTTCTGATCACAGGCGGCAGTACCAAAGTTGCAAGGGTTTGGGATTACCAACAGGCATCGTGCATTGCCAAATTGGAAGGGCACAAGGGTGGCGTCAGGAGTGCCTTTTTCCACCCGCACATCCCGTATATCTTCACTATGGACAGGGATGGGGAGATCAAGGTCTGGAATGAGTTAAACTACCAGCTAGTGTTGTCTTATTCCACTCAGTTCACATATGGCATCATGGCCCCTTGCAGAAATTCAAACAAGATAGTCGCCTCTGGTGACGGGGAGATTCTTGTGTTAGAGCTGGTTGGCAGCGGAATTGTGGAGTTTCCGAGGAGGATTGAAAAGTTGGGAAAAGGGCCAACATTTTCAAAAGTGGACCTGGAAGACAAAGTGCTCCATATGCAGAAGTGCCAGAAGGCACTAGATGAACTGCGAGCAGCCCAGAGAATCCAAGCGGAGAGCCAGGCTAAGGCATTGGAAGAAGCCAGGTGCAAAACTCGAGAAGTTGAATCAATGCTGCAGAAGGAGATCACTGCACGACAAGAGTTGGATAGGTCATGCAAATTTTGCGAAAGGCTAGTAACCGATAGGATTGAACTGATTGAGGTTGAGAGGGCAACTCGCGCACAGAAACTGGAAACACTTAGCCAGAGGGTTGAGGAACGGGAGGGTAAACTACAACAGTTCACAGAAAGGTCATGTGGAAAGCTAAGCGAGAGGATCCGACTGCTTGAGCGGGAGAAGGCAACTCTGGCAGAGAAACTGGAAAAAGTCACCCAGAGGGTTGAGGAGCTAGAGTGTGAACTAAAAGGGATCAAAACACAACAGGCGGCACAAGGGTCACATTTTGTGGTGGATGATGGCTCAACGGAGAAAACTCTATCGTTCCGAGAGTACTCTGTGGAGGAGTTGCGGGACGGGACGGAGAACTTTGATGAAAAATGGAAGAGGGGCGATGGGGATCCCTATGGATGTTGCTTCTTGGGAAAACTTGCAAGTCCAGTGTGGGTGAGAAAAATAAGCCCAGATGTAATGAGGGACCGTGATGATCCCAATCATGCGACGTGGTTCAAGACGAATGTGGTAGAGAGGTTGAGGTTGCTTCACCACCCCCATTTGTTGACACTCATGGGAGCCTGCTATGCGGACAAATGCCTGGTTTATCAACGTGCAGCAAATGGAAGTGTGATGGACTGGATCTTTAGCAGGGACGGGCCCCGACGAGGCTTCCTTCCTTGGTATGTTCGCTTGCGTCTGATAGCACAAGTGGCTCGAGCCTTGTCGTTCCTTCACTCAGCCCATCCACCACTAGGGAAAGGTCCCATCATCCATGGGGCAATCAAACCAGCAAACATCTTGCTGGTTGACAAGCTAGTGGCCAAGCTTGGCGCTGTCGACCAAGCATTGATTCAACAAGAGCTCCAGGAGGGAGGTCAATCACAGCGTACGGCCATGCTCATGCGCTTGGAGCATGACTCTCAGTACGTTGCTCCAGAATACTTGCGGTTTAAGATTTTGGACAAGGGGACAGACATTTATGCATTCGGCATCACAGTTCTGGAAATTCTGACGGGCAAGTTGTCAGATGCGTATGAAATAGTTGAAGCTGTGGTGGACGATGATCATGGAGCTTTTCTCAATGTTCTGGACCCAAATGCGGGTGGCTGGGATGCGGAGGTTGCGGAAAAAGTGGCACGCTTGGGGTTGCGGTGCGCCAGTCTGGACCGCCGTCAGCGGCCAGATATGACCATGGCAGGCAATGAGAGCATTCTTTCCATATTGGAGAGAGTTGCTCTTGAGGTGGATCTTGCTGATGCGGTAGAGGTTGCATCGCAGAATCGCTGAGTCACCCACTGAAGGGGGTGTGTGGGCGCGTGACAATCTGCTAATTTTTATTTATTTATTGCATGGGTGGTGGGGGGCTTCTGCGGCGAATCTGCGCTCTATGAGCGGTGCCCTGATCTGGGATCTTTCTTTTATTGTCTGTGGGAGTAAAATGGTTTGAAACGGTCTCAAAGCGGTTTAAAGAAGGGTGCCATAGTTTTTTGTTTTCTTATTCTATTGTAAATCTTGGACTCAGTAAGGAACTCCCTTACTCTGACACTGAGGTAGCCCTCAGCCAGACATTGTTCTTTTTTTTTTTTTTTTTTTTTTTTTTTTTTTTTTTTTTTTTTTGCCAGACATTTTTTGGGACTCCGATTTTACAGATCATTCCTCCCCTTTTTTGTTTTTTCCTACTTTATTGCACGGGGGCTGCAGGAAACCACTGGTGGTGGTTATGCCCGGCTGGGCATCTGGGCATGTGTTCGGCTTTGGGCACTACTTGCCGGGCTGCATGCACCAGTTTTCTTTCCTAGCTTCTGGGATCTTCAGATTCGTAGCAGGTCTGGACTCTGGAAATCAATTTCATACGTCGGAGGGGCAGTGGGGCTGTTCAAAATCCAAATTGCTAAAGTGAATGATGAGAAAAGGTCTGAGGAATTTTATTTTCACACCTTTTTAAATTTTAAATGTTTTGGAAAAGATCATGGAAAGGTGAACAACGTGATTTAACTTATTGCAGTTTGGTAGGGAGAAATCTTTTGGAGGGAGACTGTTTGTCCATTAAGTGATCCAGCGGGAATTATGTTGTTAGCAGCACAAGGTTCTGAAATGCAGTTATCAAGTTTAATATGTGAAAGAGTCAGGATAGCCAGTAGTAGATTTTTTTTTTTTTTTTTTTTTGTTTTTTTGTTTTTTTTTTTTTGGGAAGTAGAATGTGATTGGACATGCTAAGCACCATAGTTCTCTTTCTTCCAAGCACTAAGTTGCAATGATCGTGCTTTGTAATAATTTTGTTGTAGAGCTCACTGCGTATCATGGTATCATTTGAGGTGATCGGGGAAAGAAAACATTCAAAAACCAAATTGTAATTCTGCGCTCTGTGCTTTGGATGGTCTGTACATTATTATTATTTTATAGTAATTATTATTTTATAGTAATTATTATTTTATAGTACCTTCAGAAATTTTGTGGGATGAAATCATGAAAGACTTAGTGCAGCAAAGACATTCACTGTTGGTTAGAACGTTTAAGATGCAAGAAAATTGTGAACTCATCATGCTCTCCAAAATACTCTTCAGCAAATACTTTATTAATTTTGCCCGCTGCGACTTCCGCATGTTTTTGTCCTGATACTCGATGCACATGCATAGACATCGTGCACTTCCCCTCTTCTTTACTAAGGGCATCATTTCCGCCTAATATGCTGTATGTCTGGTGGCTCTCCTGTCCTGTGGTAGGTTTTCTGTAGTCGATTCCTGCATTTGCTGTAACAGTTGTGTTTGTTTTGTTTTTTTTTTCCTGAGGTTCACTCAGTTCTTGCCAATACCATCGTTCTTCTAGGGACTGACGGTTGAATGGCACTTGGGGTCTCCTCAATCTCAGCGGGCCGCAGTTTAATGCAGCACAGAGTTACAAACTAGCGCCTGCAGACCCAGACTCTGCTCCCAGACCCAGGCACGAGGTGATAAACGTTTTTCCCCAATCTTTGCGAGAAAGTTTTTTCCTGCCCTCTGTAGGTGATCGGATCCATTGGGCTTCTAGCAATTTCCTATGGATAGAACACTCCAGCTGCGCAACATGGTTGAGGGAGAAAGTTTGGAGGATGGCCCAAGTTCCAGGGGAAAGAGAAAAAAAAAACACGCATGCTTCGTAATAGTAAGTACTAGAAGAGGCTATCTCACGCATGCTTCGTACTAGTAAGTACTAGAAGAGGCTATCTCACGCATGCTTCGTACTAAGTACTAGAAGAGGCTATCTCACGCATGCTTCGTACTAAGTACTAGAAGAGGCTAATATCTCTTGGAGTAGACTGTACAGGATCCAGCTTGATGTCACAGTAAGCATCACCTTGGGGCTGGTCGCGCTGGTCCAACATATCAGCTAGTACATAGTCTCTGCAAGGTAGGTGGAGAAAGAGGGTGACAGGTTCATCGTTCTGGCCTGACGCTCATGAAAAAGTCTCTGCAAGGTAGGTGGAGAAAGAGGGTGACAGGTTCATCGTTCTGGCCTGACGCTCATGAAAACAGTCGAAATGTGACACTCTTGATTTTCAGGGTGCAAGGAGGGAGATTGTTTGCAGCGCTCAAGGGTGGCATTGCTTGGTCACAGCAGAGACTCCCACATGGGAACATGCTGTCTCGGTCCATCACAAATTGCCACTGAGGAGAGCAAATGGAGGTAAGAGTTGAATCATACTTCTCTTTTTGCACTCCGCAAGTCTAGAGGACTACGATCATTCATACAGTGTGCCAGAGCGATGATTTGGTCGCACATCACTCAGTATTTAGTATTTAGTAAAACACACATGAGCGTTTGTGGACTCAGGACTGTTGTGCTGATGGACTATATCTTATAATTTTTTAAGAGAACATCAACTTTCATTGGTGCTGTAGCCTGTACTAGATGAATTAAGGCAGTTCTCTCATGTACAGCCGGGATCGTGCAGTTCTTCTTACATTCGTTTTTCTCTTCTTCCTTTTTTGTATTATGAGGTCCTCCTCTTGTTAGTGATCCGAGCAAACTGCAGCACATCTGTCTGTCAGTGAGTTGCTGCTGTCACAGCCTTTTCCCTAAGGCTTCCTTTTTCAGCCCATGGAAATTTTAAAGACTGTCAGTGATAGATTTCCTCCCCCAGTAACATCACCCATGTCTTTCGACGGAGTGGATTTGGATCCTCCTGAGGTAATCAGGTAGAAACTGAGACTTTGCGTATCCAAATTCGACGGAGTAATCCTTTATTGGGGTGAGTCGGACCTGTTTGCTCCTGGTTTGAATTTCCTGTTTTGGGGTAGCCAACCCCATTCTGCTGGAATCGGCTGGTCCGAACTGCAGATCTCTTCATCGCCGGCCGACACCGGTGTCAGGTTGAAACAGACTCTGTTTGAGGGAGGAGGAATCCGATCCATTTTCCGACTGAGTACTTGGCTCACTTTCTGTACTAGGAGATATGATGTATAACCGTCCTTTTTTTTTTTTTTTTTTTTTTTCAGAATCTGGGTTACGCTTCGTAATTAAGTTGTTACAGTCTTTGTGTAATTATTGTATACATGTCATCACAAAGGTTTTCCTCCGAGACCCTCTTTTGTGTTTCCTTTTCTTGTTTCTATGGAGTCCTTACCAGCTGCAGCGGGAAAAAAACCTAAACCCTAAACCCTAAACCCTAAACCCTGAACCCTAAACCCAGAAGCCTGAACAGTAAACCCTAAACCCTAAACCCTAAACAAAGAAGGTCAGGCGAACTGAGAAAGCCTTACCTGCACAGGAAATGCATATTAGTATCTTAGACGTAGCATTGGATTCCATCATATTAAGCAAAGGAAACACTGTCAGATGGATGAAGATAAATTAAATGAGAAAGGAGCAAAAAGGTACAGTAACAATGGCTATGCTTACTATTCTTGGAAGTTGGAAACAGTTGGATGTGAAGTCCAGGACAGTGTGGATGCATCTACCTCTTCTCTGCCTCATCCATCATGCATGCGTCTGTGTTGGAGTCACGTGCGACCAATGGGTGCAGGCCCAGTTTGGCACTCCCACTTTCACCAGAATGAACACAATGTCATGATCATTATAGCCGTATTTCGTCCAACCTTCTGGTCAGATACAGCGTTAAGGACCATGCCTTCTACTCTGAGGACGGCCTTCAGTTTTCTCATGTCCCAAAATCACCATGATATTGGAGCAGATGGTTACTAGACTGTGTACAGCAGTCCAAGGCCATACAGATGGGTAGAGGGCCTGGGAAGGTCCTTAAAGTCAAGGTGCCAGTATGGCTACGATGGCTACTGTGGTCCCACATTGCAGCCATTGGGACACTAAACAGTCCCACATTGCAGTCATTGGGACACCACCCAGTCCAGTCAGTCCCACCTTGCACCCATTGGTCCACCCAGCAGTCCCAAATTGTAAGCATTGGGACACCAATCAATTTTCTCCCATCTTCAGGTAAATTAAATATGCCCATCAAAAAATTCAGTGAGAGGACAGCAGATTCGTCTGTGACCCTCCCTCGCCCGGACCTGGTTTAATCCATCCATGTATATGGGGACAATGCCCCACAGAAAATGCGCAGCACATCTTGACTCTCTCTCTCTCTCTCTCTCTCTCTCTCTCTCTCTCTCTCTCTCTCTCTCTCTCTCTCTCTCTCTCTCTCTC